CAACTCCCAGAATTCCCCAGCCAGCTGCATAGGATAACTTTCTTCATAGATGGTGGGTATGCAGTAAGCATAATATATCTTGACTTCAGAAAAGTGAAAAAAAGAAGAAGAGCTGGCTGGGGAATTCTGGGAGTTGAAGTCCTCCAGGCTTTAAGTTCCCAAGGTTGGAGACCCCTGATTTAAGGCTTGTGGACTTCAACTCCCAGAATTCCCCAGCCAGCGCTCTCTCTCTCCCCCCACCCCCAGTTTGTTGAAGTTAAGATATATTACGCTTACTGCATACCCACCATCGATTAAGAAAGTTACCCTACGTGGCTGGCTGGGGAATTCTGGGAGTTGAAGTCCACCCATCTTCCAGGGGCTGAGATCAGATCTTTAAATCTCTCCCCCGCCTCTGGTCCAAAAGATCCTTTCGATCTTGGTTCGTCTCAACCCCGCAGTTTGATTACGAACCTGGTTTGCGTTACAAAGTCAGTCCCACCTTACAACCAAACCACCTGTGTCTCTTTCTCCGATTACCTGCGTGAATCATGGCTAAAAGTGGACTCGGGGATCCAGCATCGGCCGCCCTTTGGATCTGGAGGAAGAGAGGATAATCAGGACCACGGAAGGACGAGGAGAGAAACAAACCTTCATACTAGGTTTCCTGCCTCGAAGGCCAAAGTCGGCCTTGAAGAAAATTTAGAAGCAATCCCGAAGGAAGGAAAAATCAGCCAGTTGATAAATTTTCTCCCTCCGTCCTTGACTTACGACCACAATCCCGCCCGATATTTCTGTTGCTAAATGAAACCCTTGCTTTGCCCCATTTTATGACATTTCTGGCCGCGGTTGTTAAGTGAAGCCTTGCAGTTGTGATGTCGTTAAGTGAACTTGGCTTTGTCAGAAGGTCACACGAGGGGAATCACGTGGTTCCCTCGGGACACTGCGGCCGTCATAAATATCAGTCCATGGAGGGTGCAACGGCCGTTAAGTGTTTTTTTTCCCCAGTGCCGTTTAGTGACCGATCACGAAATGAACGGTTTGTATGTGGGATTCTCTCCTTCATCATCCACAGCCAGCACTTCTGGTGGGGGATGATGGAAACCAGGGTGAGAAGATGGTTTCTCCACAAGATCAAACAAAATGGTTTCCCGACAATTATAGACAGATAATCCACAACTCACAACCACAACCCCTGTTGCTCAGCGTTAGTGTGTCGGTTAAGCAAGCCCTGCCCGATTTGACTATTCTTCCCCCCGACAGTCGTTAAGTGAATCACATGGTCGTTAAGCGGGTCATATGGTCATTAAGCAAATCCAGCTGGTCGGAAGCTGGTGGAGAAGGCCGCAAATGGCAATCGGGTGACACACACATATCCCGGCCTGCCGCAACGGTCACGAATCCATGCCTTGCCTGGATCACATGATCGCAGGGACACTGTGACGGTCGTAAGTGTGAAGCCTGCTCGCCAGTCACTTGTTTCAGTGCTGCTGTTAACTTCAATTGGTTCTTAAATGAGTAGTCGGAAGTCAAGGACACCTCCCTCCCGGACCGATGTTTCTCATCCTTGAACGTTTGAAGATGGGTGGACTTCAACTCCCAGAATTCCCCACTGGGGAATTCTGGGAGTTGAAGTCCACCCATCTTCAAGGGACTGAGATTGAGAAACGCTGCCGTGGAGAGACTTACAAAATGCTCTCACCCAGCTCCCCAAACATGGCCAACCCTCTGAAGTGAACCCAAAAGATTCTTCTGTCCCGAGGACCAGCCCATAGATTTCCACTGTTCTCCTCTCCTCTGTTTTCTATGCATCCGGGCATCAGGCACTGGACCCAGCTGTTCCTCCTCTTCCTCATCAGCCACCTCCAGACCTGGCGGCTGTTGACTCTCCATCTGAGGGCTGACGGGTGGCCTAGGCTCCCTCACCCTCTCTCGATCCACCTCACTCCCTACTTCACCCCACCATCCTGCCCTATAGCCCTGCTCACCTGTAACACCTGGTCCATTAATTCTTGCAACACCTGAGGGTTGGGGTGCGTTTCCTACACAAGGAAAAAGAGTCACAAGTCTCCTTCAACTCTTTGCGTGGACCCCTAAAGGTTCTCGAGCAGACCCCGTCCGTCCCCCCCACCAGACCGTCTTGGTCTCGCGTCCCCTCCACCCCGTACCGAAAGGACAAGGGTCAGCTCTGCGCGGAATAGCATGACGTCCACGGTGACGGATGCCACTTGAGGAATGTCTGGCTCGACCTGGGAATCTGGGAAGTAAAGCCCGTCGGTCTTTTGTTCCGAATAGCCGTACAGCCGGAGGACGTCACGCCCACCCTGCAGGAAGAGAAGGCGTCATTTTGGCAAGCAAAGGGGTGACACATACAAAAACGCATACGAAACAGAGAGAAGAGCCGAGGTGGCGCAGTGGTTAAATGCAGCACTGCAGGCTACTTCAGCTGACTGCAGTTCTGCAGTTCGGCTGTTCAAATCTCACCGGCTCAGGGTTGACTCAGCCTTCCATCCTTCCGAGGTGGGTAAAATGAGGACCCGGATTGTTGTTGGGGGCAATATGCTGACTCTGTAAACCGCTTAGAGAAGGGCGAAAGCCCTATGAAGCGGTATATAAGTCTAACTGCTATTGCTATTGCTATTGCTAAGAAGGTGAGAGAGTGAGAGAGAGAGTGAGAGAGAGAGAGAAAGAGGGAGAGAGAGAAAGAGAGAGGGGGAAAGGGGAAAAGAGAGAAAAAGAAAGAGGGGGAGGGAGACAAAGACACAGAGAAAAAGAGAAAGAAAAAGATAGAGGAAATAAGAAAGAGGGACGGAAAGAAAGAGAGAAAGAGGCAGAGCGACAGAGAAAGGGAGGATAGAGAGAAGAGAGGGAGAAAGGGAGTAAGAAAGAGAAAGAGGGCGAGAGAAAGAAAGGGAAAAGAAGAGATAGAGAGAAAGAGAGAGGGAGGGAGGAAGGGAAAAAGAGAGAGGGAGAGAAAGGGAAGGAGGGAAAGAGAGAGGAAGAGAAAAAAGAGAGAGGCGGGGACAAGGAGAGGGAGAAAGAGATATTTAACCAACATTTATTCGTTGCCAATTCTTCTTTAAAACATTTGGAAATTGTTGGGAAAAGAAAGAATAATTTCAGCAGATCCATTCCTTCATTTCAGCAAAAAAAACCACCCGTATATTATATACAAGTGTATATACTGTATATTTTTTAAAAAAGGAAATTTCATCCCCTACACATCCTCAAACTGGCATTATAAAGTACATAGTATTTCTCAACCTGGGACGCTTGAAGAGGGGCGGACTTCAACTCCCAGAATTCCTCAGCCAGCATGGGGGAATATGTAGGGCCCTTTTATGACTCGTGGACTCCAACTCCCAGCATTCCCCAGCATAGCATGGCTGACTCGAGAATTCTGGGAGTTGAAGTCCACCCCTCTCTTCAAGTGGCAAAACACTGTTTTAAAGGCTTTACAGGCCAGATTCACCTCCAGAAAAGCTTGTGGATTCTAAAAATTTGGCTCTTTTGTGGCCTTGATCCCAGATCCCCTCCCAGGGGAGATCCCTGCTCTATTTACACTGCTCTCCACCCGTAGGGAAAGCGGGAAAGCCCCGTAAAAAATTAACAAAAATCCCGGGGGGATTTTTCTGCTAACGGTAGACAGCAAGCCGATAAACCTTGGGAAAATTTGGGGATTCCCAGAGTCCGGTTATTTCTCGTAAGAAAGGATCACCTGACGAGGGATCTGCCCCTTCCAAACCTGATTTCTTAAACATTATCGAGGCTTTCAATCCATTCTCTGGAAATCCACCCGATTTGGAAAAGAAGAGAAAATCGGAATTTCATTCCCGGTTCGATTTTGGGAAGCTCCTATGAATTTATTTATTTTTGAAACCTTGGGATCGTCTCCAGCGTAAAACTCAAACCTTTAAATCCAGCGGGACCGCCGCCGAGAGAAGGGATCCAGTTTGGGAGGCAGGGGAGGGGTGGGGGGGGCTTACCTGGATAGTGTCCACCGTATCTCGGAACACCGGATTGTTAAATTTGACCATTCGCCAAAAATAAGGTTTGCGAGGGTTCAGAAGATTCCGGCCGTATTTCTCCAGGATTTGGAAAGCGGTGGAGATCATGCGGAGATCCACCTGGATCTGAAGAGGGATTGGAAATTCAGCAATGTCTCCCCCCCCTACCCCCCCGCCCCAGAAGCCGTAACCGGTTCTGGGTTCGAATGCGGCTGGCTTCCGAGGAGTTCCCAGAAGCATGCTTCGTTCAGCTGGCCCTCGGCTTACGTCCGTTCCTTTAGCGACTGTTGGACGTTATAACAGCACTGGAAAAAAGTGACTTAGGACCGGTCCTCGCACTTAGGACTGGTCCTCGCACTTACGGCTGTATTAGCATTCCCACAGGGTCACATGATCCAAAATTTGGGGCTTGGCAACTGGCAGGTATTGGGGGGGAAAAACTAGTCTCCGTTTTGTGACTCTTCCGAGCTTGGTTTCCAGCTAGCAAAGTTGAACGGGGGAAGCCAGATTCGCTTAGCGACCGTGCGAATCACTTAGCGACCGTGCTATTCACTTAGCGACCGCAATGAGAGAGAAAAAAAGAATGCCAAAACGGGTGCAACTTGCTAGAACGGCCCCTCGCTGAGGCAGGGAAATTCTGGTCGCATTCGTGGCCATTAAGTCCAGGACGACCTGCAATCAGCCCACCCAAATTGTTTGTCTTGAGGACTAGAAGCTTTGTTTTGGAAATGGGAGGTCTGAGGAGCGTGTCACTAAATTCCCCCAAACCAGGGAATGGAAAGAAATGAACCCCAGATCGTACCTGGCCCCTTACACCTAGCCAGACTGCTTCCAAGCTGAGTTTAATTGCATTTCTATTTATTTATTTCCGTTTATTAATTCATTAATTATTAATTTATTAATTTATATGCTGCCTATCTCACTGTCAAGGTGGACACTCTGGGTTGCCTGCTACAATATAAAAACATCAAAGAAAACAATAAATACATTTATTTTTTTTAAAAGGTTTCTGCTTAATTTTCAGCTTTTGCAAAGTCAGTTTCTTCCCATCAATGGGCTGAAGTAACATTACAGGCGGGCATTCAACAGGTAAAGCATCCCACATGGGGAAATCTATCGTCCCTTTTATCCACGCCACATCTACTCCAGGATGTTTTGAGGGCAGTTTTCCTCTCCCCGCAAGGAGTAAATGGAGCATTACGGGCAGACATCCAACAGGTAAAGCATCCCACATGGGGAAATCTATCATCCCTCTTATCTACTCCCGTGACCCGTCAAAACCGCGCTCGACTAAGCCGCGCCCGATTAAACCGCGTCGCTGACGTCATCAACAGGGCGACAAC